AGCCCTGACCGAGGCTGCCTAAGTCCGTTAGCAAGTATCGTTGAGATAATGAGATATGAGCTTGTAAGTATGTAAGTCAAGTTACGAGACCACTTGTCCTAACCTCTCAGTCTAAGGTCATTAACGTTGAACCCCCCAAGGAAAGGCATGACTGGGGCTGCAAAATCTGGCGCGTCTGGTTTGGTTGATGAGCTTAATCTTACATGTTGGATGAGTGTGAGTGGAGTTAGAACCATCGCCGAGCAGACAAGATAAGTCGCCTTCATTTGAATGGTGGCTTAGCACCATCTCTTCTTCAATCTACCAATCAAGCATAAGTAGTTCCTACTACAACCGTTAACTACCACTATTTGACTTATGACATTTCGGATGCAATATTTTAGCATTCCTCATCTCTCAGGCATTTTGTCTTTAATATACAATAGATCCTATTTTGAATTTTGCTGATTCTGACTATATTCTTTATCAGACCCATTTTATTTTATTTTGACGTATTTTCCAGAGGATGAACGTTTATTGCGTAAAGCAAGCGTGGCCAAAGAATCAAAAGTTTAGTTTTACTATAGAAATTACACACTTGTGAAACTTATTTATTCCCTTTCAATAATTGGAATCTCAAACATTGCATTTCCATACCTTTTAAAAATGTGTACTCTCTTTTCTTGTAAGCTATCGTGATCTCCTGGACCAGTGGAGGCTTTGGTTTCATCGAGCCGACTTCGACATCCATTACAAGTCGCGTCTCGTCTCTATCCTGCTCACTTCTCCTTATGTGCTCAGTGGTATTAATACCGGAGGCACCTCAGCCGGCCAACAATCCAAAAGAAGTCAGGTATATTTTGTGAATTCGCTATCAGCAAGATAGTCTAATATTATACCCTGGTTATTTAGTGTGCTACTTATAAATTATATTCGTGTAGTCTTAATTCCTGCTAATGAGCTACGGTCTAACACTGTACGTCACAACATTTCATTTTTAATTTAATGTGAGAATTTTGCTGCCAAATTAATTATTCATAGCTATGTTCATACATTTTTGTGAGCTTAACCAATTTCATGCTTGTTTATTATCATTAAGCGAATTGATTGGATTTATATAAGAAATTTCTCGTTTTTGCTTTTGATGTCTCATAATGTAATCTGCTAGACCCGGTCTCGAATCTCCCGGATAGGAGGTCCTTCCCGGATGAAATATACAAAGAAACGTGGGTTTCAATGAATCTCCTGAGATAAAATTGTTGTGAAGACTTTAATTTCGTATTCAAGTGCATCATGGAGAAGTTCTTAGTTCTCTCTCACTAGAAGACGACAGTTGATTAGCGTTGCATTGCAGCCGTGTGGTTTTAATAAGACGTTCATGTTTACGTTGTCCAGGAGATATCCTCTCTCTTTTCGATGAATACGAGTTGAGCTTTCGTTCGTCATATGACGAACATTGTCAAAGCTGGGACTCATTCTTTCAAAAGTATCAAAGTAACACTAAGTTCTTCATTCCATCAGCAAAATATGATATGGGAAAGGCCTAGGCTTCCCTGAAATTCATTTCTGCCCTGTGACCCAAGGGTATTCGTGACAGTGTGGCTTAGTGGTTGACATGGCGAGACTATGCGGCGCGCTACCACAACAGATTGACGAAGTCGAAGCCACATCTATCTTGGATGAGAACACCTTTTGGTAATGCAAGGCTGTAAAATTTAATTGCGTGTGTGGCCTACTCAAATCATTATAGGAAAACTCAAGTGCCAGTCCTTTATCACAAAATAGGATAAGTACAGCTATCATATAGGATCCACTTGTAATCCCGAAAACCTTCTAATGAAATGATATATCCCCCATCATGTTGATATATCTTTCATTTTGTTTGAAGAGGCGAGTAAAAGGTATTCATAATTTGGCTTCACGGTAAACAATTAATTCCTCATCTCACCAAACGCGGCCCCAATGAATCTTTGTTGAACTTTTGTCCGTCATGTGACGAATATCATCAGAGCAGATCATTTTTTACGATAGTTCACCCAAACGCGAAGACAACAAAGGTGGCCGGCTGCAATCATACCTACTTTGTTTAGCCTAACTCTGTCCACTTGATGAAACATCTCATGATTTTGTTGGATATCCTATGTTTTTCCTAAATGTTTGATAAAAAGTGAAGTAGATGCGGATAGCATGTGAAGTGGCTGCAGATGAAGCTTTAAGTAGATGCATTTGTGACCAAACAGCTGCATTCCTTAAATTAAGTTTTTTATCCTGAAATGTTGGCGCATTTAATTGCGCTCCCTTGCACATGCAATGCTCGTGGGTCGCCTTAGGTGTAAGAGTGAAAACCAGTTCCGAGGTTAATCAACAGTTCTTTATGCTCTGCGGTACTTCTTGTTCCCTCCCTATGTGATCCCATCCAACAGCTTCAAGTAGTTTCCACTTAATTTCCTACATTTATTCCTTTTATTCTGCATGCTGCCTATTTTGCTGATTTCTATATATTTCCCAATCTTCTGCTTAATGGTACAAACTTCGTATTCAGCTAAGCATTTGGTACTAGATCAGTCCATCTGTTGTCTTGTGTTATCCATATATTCTGCCAATTCCGATTTTTGGACCCACAAACCTTTACAAACTATTGTAGGATCAGCTATATATGAGCCTGCAGCTCTTCCACACATAGCTGCTTCTGCATGAATACTTTTTTAACAGCTAAATCTGGGGAGAGTAACCGAATATTCCTGAAACTGGCATTACCGATGAAAGTGTTATTTTCTTATTATTCATTGTCCTGATGTCTAGCTTCCTTAGTATTCACCTATCTTTTTGCAGAGATGACAAGCTGGCAACATATGGACCCTGGTCGAGTTGTGTATCCATTTTTCTTGCCTCAGATATACGTTTCCTTTCATCCTATATGACTATTCTAAAATAATTGTCAATTAGTCCTAGTGGTTAATTGTTCTCAACCAGAATGTTCTACATCACTTGACAGAAAAACTGCACCTTTGTTTTCCCTTAGCATTAAGTTTTCTTATGATTTTACTTACTCTCCTATTCCTAGGATGCTCTTTATATAGACTTATAAACTTATTTTTACCTTAGCTTAATTTCCCTTTAAACTAAACTATTTTTTATCTAATTCCTTAATTTACTCGCACTCTGTTTATCTTCTTCAATCTTTATATTTCGTATAGCCATTCACTTCGGCACACTCCTCTATTGATCTATTTGCCTCTGCCGAGGACTCAGCCCGAATGACTGGACAGTTTGCACAACCCACTTCGACAGCCCGGTCTACGCGCGTTAGCATTGCTGGTCCTCTGCCTCCTTCATCGCTTTCAGCTGCTTCACTTTCTTTTATCAGTGGAGCTAGCATCAACACTATCTCCGGAGTTAGCACCAATATGTCGCGCAGCCAGACAGCTTTGCTTAATAGCACACTAGCAGGCCAGAGTGCCGGGATCACGGTTACCACGTCTGTAGCACCTACAAGCGTTACGATGCTTGCTGGTCTCGGAATAGGCGGCATTTCTAAAAAGCTCTCAGCCACGACTGCCCCTCTAAACTTAACAGCAGTGACGATATCACCGACTGGTGCCAGTGGAACCAATTCCATCTCGCGACAATCAGGAGTCGGCGCTCAAGTCAGTGGTATTGGATCAACACCTCTTCTGGCCGGACACGAGGCAGGTCCAGCAATTGGACTCGCAGCTGGGGCCCGAGCTTTGTCACAACTAGCTGGAGCCAGTCAGGTTCGTTTCTGTTTGTGAGTATTTCTACGTCGTCATTTCCGTTTATGTTTCTGTATATTTATCCTTTATTCGCACAGACAACGGCAACTTATAGGATCTTAGCTTGCGTTTAAATATTCATGGATTTGTGCCATTGGAATGCATAAACGCATATCCCGAAGTGAAGTATCACTTGACTTGCAAGAAGAATGCACCATTCAAGATTAGCTATACCTGACTGTTTAACTTGCACTACACCAAAGCATCAGTCTTCAGGATGTTATCCTTGCAAAGCTTTATGGCTGAATATTTTAAGATGTGAAGACCAAGATGTTGTGGCTTCGGGTATGGTCGCAGTCTCCTTTCGACTTATAGAAGTGAATATTTTAAAATAAAATTCAGGCTTTCTTAAACAGTTGTGTAGAAAAACTGATTTTTTAACATTTAAAAAATAGTTCTGCAGTCCATTGAAGTTAAACCTTCAGATAAATGAAGATCCCTCTGCAAATTTTTTTTCGTTAGCAAAGCAGTATAATGTTGTTTCTATACAGCTCTTTTAGTATAATTCGTCAGATTCCTTTCCTACCTAGAGTATCCATTCTGAATGAGAAGTCATTTCTGAACTATAGGTTATTATTTGGCATAGGTAAAAAACACTATTTTCTTGCCTATATTATATTTGTTCTTGTGTAGAATAAATGGAAGCATTGAGCCAAAATGTTATTATTTTATAAAAATTGGTTTCAGCTATTCATTTTTGAAAATGCCATCTCGCTCAATGCTTTTCATTTTTTTTATTATTAAAATCTTGACTCTCATTTCGTGACTAAAAGTATTTTTATATTAAGAGAAGCGAAATTTCTAATTTTATCTTGATAAACTAACGTTCTGCCTTTAATTTAAAAATGTGTGGGTAGAGGATTCGTTGATTGGCCTCGCCGAAAACCGAAGGAGGACCGCCTTGAAATATTGGCTATTAATTTGAGTGTATAAATCCACTGTGATATGTCCTTTGACTCCGGTAAATACTTGTTAGGCTTTCTTCTATCAAGACAAATATCATCATAATGCGAAATTTAAAATTTTTTGAAGTTTGCGTCCCTACGTCGCACGGACTATGGAGGAGTAAATATTTGTGTGCTTGTTGACCGTTTCTTAAAGCAGCCTATGAGAGATATCAATATTTACCCTTAACTTATTATCCATATTAGAGTGCCACCTTAAATTAAGAGAGTTAATGACATCATAAGGAACTCAATGTTGAGGGCAGAAAAATGAGGAACAGCTGTAACTATTTATAAGGTAAGTTATGCGAAACAAATCCTTAAGGCCTTAGATAATCTTGAAACGCAGTATTCCAATTAAAGAGGCCTCGTGGATCTTTAAATATAGACGGATGCGTTGCCCACTGCAGCGTTTTACAAATAGGTAAGTGGAGAATTGTAAATAAAAAGAGTTATTCGACGAGATGCCAGACTGAATTCATATGGTATGAACAAAATACATAACGAAGAATTCTCTTTTAGAATTTATGAGTTTTAAGGGCCGAATAATACATTAAACATTATTGATTTATTGTCAATTGAGAAGAGTTTCTAAGACGACTATTTTCAACACAATTATTATTAATTCTTAAGCTATTAAATGAGCGGGTAATAAAAATGGATTATCTACTTGCCATTGACATTTAAATTCTTGTAAGCTTAGTGACAGGTCCTAGAACCGATTTTAGATCGACACTCTTAATAAAAATTTGGGTTAAGAATTAATTACGCTATTGAGGGGTCTGGTCATGAGCTGCACACCTTTTATTTTTAAAAGAAAATTTTATCAACGAGCATAAGTTCTAGTTATGGGATGTCTCTAATTTTAGAATGTAATTAAGTGGCTTACTTCAAGGGTTGTCTACTTCCAGATACGCTTTTAGCTTCTAACTGTTAGTAAAGACGATTAGTATGGACGATTACTCTGCAGTTTAGCAATACGGCTTTGTGGATGTTTTTCTTAAGTGATTTAGTAAGATAGATTTAGCGGCAAAATTTACTATGCAGTTAGCCTACTATAATAGACTACCCATTTTGATAT